CCCCCCCTCCCCTCCCCGAGATGTAGTTCTTGGCTGCTTTACAATTAGAGCAAGATTTTTGGATTACCCTTCAGAAGTACCTGATTGCCCTTTCTGACTACATAAGACGCCTTAGTGCCTAACTTTGGTACTGTAAATCACCTGCTAATTTTTCAGCTTTGCACAGCCTGAGTTAAGTACACAAATAGATGCTCCAGATCATTGCAGAATATTAGATAGGAGGACTGTCATAGAACATGAAACCTAGTCCTGATCTTAGTATATGGTGGAAGAACGTGATCAGATTCCTGTATGTTTTATATTTAAGAAATACAACAAATACAATAATTTCTTCTTATCATCCAGCAATCTGTGTTGTGTCTCAAAAGTTACCTGACACAATATTAAGATAATGGGATTAATAAAGTAGCGCGTTGGCACTGAAATGCATTTCCAGCAGCAATAGTTTATGTCACGTTTTTGTCAGAGATTTCATTGAGCAAGCTTCTGAAAGCCTTTGGCAATCTGCTTACTCCTTCTGTTTTCCATCTGCAAAATGATAGTTGTACTTTGTTGGCCTTGTGTAGATAGATTGCAAGCAATTTGAGGTATGAACTGCCTCCTTCTTCATGCCTCACGTAATGGCGTCCTAATCTTGATTGGGTCTTCAGGTTACGTTGTAGTACTGATAGTAATACAAGTAAACAAATTACAGTGTCATTAGTCCTGGAGTGTATCAACAGAATTGAGGCATTTTCTGCGGTATTGTTCCCTGTGATTTAAATTTGTTGGCTCTGGCAATAGGAATTAGCAGTGCAGAATTTTCGAAGATTTATGAAAGTGATACAAGACATGACTTTCAGTTAGAAATGCCCCTAAACAAAACCTTTGCTGAGGTTGTGAATGATCTGTCTAGAGACTGTGGGGTAAAACCTGTGCTCTGGGAATCTGAATCCCATTCCTGTCCTTCCTGCTGGATGATGGTGTGCCCTCAAACAAGCTTTGTGTATACTGGTCCCACGTGTGCTCTTAACAGTGAGGGGGCAGCTTTTTTTCCAAGTTATTTGGAACTGACATTCTCTTGAGTTGTCATATGTAGCTTGTGGCAGAGCTGAATTCTTAACATCTTCATCTTTCTCCTTGGCCACCTGTATATCTGTGATAATAATACAATTACCCTTTTTGAGGAACTGATGATGTTCAGTATCTGTAGCATGCTGGAGCAGACTTGTTTGAGTGAGACTATAAAGGGACATTACATCATTAATTACTTATTAATTTGGATTTCTATCAGAGAAGATTTTCCATAGACATTTTAGGCTAGGGCAATGGCCATAAGAATGCACCAAAAAAATTTTGAAGAGACTAGACTAGAGTAGACTAGAATATTTCAGTTGGAAGGGACCT